ACTAACAGTACCTTGTGGTTATTGAAGAAAACAGGAAGTCTCATATTTTCATTTCTATATCCATCCATTTTCTGAAACCACTAGTCCTATTCAGGATCATGGGGGGAGGGGGTCTGGAGCCTATCCCAGAGGCTATGGGTGCAAGGCAGGGAACAACCCATGATGGGGTCCCAACCCACCACAGGGCTCACTGACACACATACCTGTACATTCACATAGTATCTCTAACTAGCCTCAGCATGTTAGCACACACACATAGACACATACACACACACACACACACTTATAACATGCCTATTGGCCTACCTCTAATTGGACTCCCTGTCAATTATCGGTTGCAGGAGAACTAACGCCTTTGTGCAAATTAATATACAGCATCAGCAGACAGAAATATTGCTGTTCTATACCAGAACATAGTGTAGGATGAAAGGCCCCTGCAAACTACAGCAATTTAGGGACACCTGTTATCATATATTGATAAAATAATATTTTATTATATGTATATAGGATATTTGTCTCTTCCCTTACCCCATCTTGCTCAGGTGTCACAGCACAGGATCAACTATTGTGTGGCTATGCCTGGAGTCAGGGGTTAAGGGCCTTGCTCAAGGGCCCACAGACATGTGACTGTTTTTTCAAGGCCAGGAAAGTCCGGAAAATGAGGAAAAATAACAGGCCAATGATGCCAAAGCAAAGACAGCATATCACTCCCTTTGTGGCTAAATTTGACTCCCACTAATTTCAAGTTGAGACGGCAGCTCCTACTGCATCTGCAAGCGCCATCATCTTGTCCTGCACCGAGACCAGCTCCTTGCTTAGGGCAGCCAGCTCTTTGGTATACCGGTCGGTAACAGCCTTAACCGAGACAATATCTTTTTGGAGAGACTAGAAAGTCAGTCGTCAGTACATTCATATCAGCATGGAGTTCACTGTGATTTTGTTGGATGAAACCATCAAGTGAGCTCCTCTGCTCAGGTGTGAAACTTTCCATCTCCTCGAGGAAACTTTCCATCTCCACGAGGACAGGGGCCATAGGAGGAAGAAAGGCGTCCTCACTGGAGCCACCCTCAGTGCGAGGAGCTTTCCTCTCTGAACTGTAAAGGGATGAACGAGATCTAGGCTACAAAACAGCCATCAGGAGAGACACCCGAGTAAGTAGAAGTAGGATTAATTAGAGCGAAGTTCAGTAGCAAGGGAACGAAAAAGGTGGAAGGAAGTGAAGAAAGACAGAGCTAGGCAGCCATCAGCCTCCACTGCAAACTGTATATAGTGGAAACATTACTGTATTTGTGGATCATGGGTTTGGAATTTGATGTTGGAAATAAAACCTGGTGCTTTTGTAATCAGATACACTCTCTCATGAGTTTCTTATATAGAGAATAAATAGAGCTTAGTAAGGGAGTTATATGCCTTCCTTTTAAAAACATCAAATTTTAAAATGCTGTTTTTTGTTTATTCATTGTAATATTCAATGCAAAGCTGCTAATACAGAATCTTTAACTCAGCAACAGATTTTACAGAAGCCTCAGAGAAATACATATACATTGGATATTGGAGTAACATGATTATACATCCAAGTCAGCTCACAGAAAATGCACAAGCTAATAATCTCATCTCCATCCCAATTAATCTGGGCCTAAACTGATTCATTGGCAGATGGAATGATTATGCCCTCTTCATAATGCACAGGGAGCTTGTTCTCACAGCCAATAACAATCTTTCTGGTGCTGCTGTGTCCCCTGTATTCACAAGGTGGGCGGCCTGACCCTCCCTTTAGGTCGCAAGTGATCACATGAAAAGGCTTATTGCTTATGCGTAGATTTCCACGATATGGAGAACCCGCCTTATCACAAACATTCTTGATATCGTTTTTATTGCCAGCAGCAATGAATGTATTAACTTGCTTACAGCTGTGAGTGTCCTCATTCCCAAAGATCTTCCTACTTTTAATTGTACTGTCACATTTTTTTACTGCCATATTTGGGTCAAAATGCTGCCTGAGGAATTTCTGATATCGTGACTCATTGAGTTGCACGTCGATCTCAGACATCACTGGCATGGCTGCCCACCCAACAGCGAGGATCAGGAACAGAACAGGACACACAGATGCCATATTTCCTTTCTGAAGACAAAAAACAAAACAGAGAAAAAGTTTCAAACATTTGAGCCAAAGTAGAACTCAAACCCAGGACCCTAAAGATACACGACCCACTCAGTCACTGCACTGCCTGAGCACTACGCACTTAACACACTGTAACAAGAAGCAGCGCAAACAGCACAGCAGGTCTCCTGTTTACGTGACTGTTAGTTCAGTTTAATTAATTCTTTCCAAAGATACACATTTTGTAAAAAAGTTTAGAAGGTATTAAAGAACCATTTATATGCAGCTACAAATAATTGTATTTGCACACAGAATACAATGGCTTGTATTGTCTATATACTCACCCGGTTTGTGGTGACTTTCAGTAGCTGCAGCTGTCTTGCAAATAAGGTTTTTATATAGTTCATAAGTCCCACCCCTGATAGTGCCCCTCCCACGGAGACCATGGGGAAATATGTTACACACACATACATGATTACAAGATAACATGATTTTATATATATATATATATATATATATATATATATATATATATATATATATATATATATGCATAGAGACACACACACATATCAGTTTATCAATTGCTAAATTTAAGTGTATATAGTACTGTGCAAAAGTCTTAAGCAGTCCAAAGAAATGTTTAAAGCTGTTTATCTGGGTAGCAAGTGTACTTTGGCTTGGGACAAAAGACACAATTTAACATTAGATCATGTGCAAATTAAGAGTAACACAATAAAAACTAGTAATCATTTCTTCTGTTTTCTAAAAAGTTACTGATATCTAGTTGGATGGCTAGATGAACACCGCTTCAGTTCCCAAACTTCTCCTCAGGGGCACCTCAGCCGTTCCACGATTTTGTTAAATTTCACCAACAGCTCAATTAAATAATTAAATAAATCGATTTAAAAAGTCAGTGACAGATTGAGTAGCTGTATGAGCTGTGCTAGTGGCCAAGTCAAAACATACATGGCTGCACTGGACGGTCGCTGCAAATACTGGGGTGATTTTAGCAGAGGCTCTGAAATGGCTACGCTGACACACTTTGACAGGCATAATATCATAGTTTTACACCAACGCGAGGATAATTTACACATCATTTTCTTTGCCTACCTAAGACTTTTGCACAGTACTGTATAAATATTCACACACACATTTATGTTAATAAACAAATAAAAAGAAAACCAGTAAGCTTGCCAGACACAGAAAAAGACAGAAATTTTAAATCGTGTTTCTGAAAAGAAACCAACATTATTTTCTCACTCTCAAAAGTACAGTTTTCACACTTAGTAAACCCTCTTACCTCAGTGAGGTATTTATTTCTTAGATCTTTTGCAACAGAGTTTTGCAAACTGGAGGGAGTGAAAAGCAGAAATGGTGAATGCGGTAAAGTCACTTTCAACGTCCCTAAAGAGAGGGACAGGGTGTGCATGATCCTTCCATAACAGATAGCGTGTACTGGGTGTATTCCTATATATAAATGAACCATTCCTAAATAATAAATACAAGATGAGTGAAAAACTCAAGACCTCAGTTTTGTCTGTGCAATAAATGTGGCTGCACTGTTTGCAAAATTAGGTGTATGTTCATCCTTAATGGCAGCACTGGTGGCTCCAGTACAATGTCGACAGTTTTGGGTAGCTTTCTGAAATTCAGTAAATGTACACACACACACACACACACACACACAAGTTGGTCTTCCTATCTAAATGGGGACCGTCCATTCATTTCTATGGGAAAAACCATAATCCCAATCACGACACCCTTAACCTCTACCCACCCCTAACCTTAACCATAAGTAACCAACCCAAATACAAGACTGTTGGAATTTTTATTTTTTTGATTGCATTCACAGATTTTTATAAAACTGATGTTATCCAAATGGAGACCTCAAAAGATGTCCCCAAAAATAGGGAAATTTCATGTTTTACTACACTTTGGGGACAATTTGGTCCTCAAATGTGATCTATGCAAACCCCCCCCCACACACACACACACACCCAGCGTGTAATCATATCCTTTTGGGGACCACTCATTAATTTCTATGGGAAAAATACTAATGCTAACTATGACAACCTTAACCCCTACCCAGCCCTAACCATAACCATAAGTAACCAAGCAAAATGCAAGAGTTTTTGCATTTTTAGTTTTTTCATTGCAGTCACAGATTTTTATAAAATAGAGTTTAAAACATGGGTATTCATCACGTTGTGGGGACACTGTATAGTCGATGCACGGGCAGAGACCTCCATCTTTCTTCTTCACAAAGAAGAAACCGGCTGAGACCAGTGATGTGGAAGGGTGTATGATACGATGTTTGAGTCCCTCGCTTATATACGTCTCCATGGTCTCCTCCTCCTGAACAGGTAGGAGGTATAGGCGGCCCTTTGGAAGCGGTCCCCCCTCTAGGAGGTCGATGGCGCAGTCACATTCTCGATGCGGAGGTAGCTGGAAGGATAGGGCCTTACTGAAGACATCTTGGTAGTCTACGTACTCTGCTGGAATCCAAGAGAGGTCTTCCGGTTCAGGGCTCTCCACTGAAGAGGCACAGCAAGGTAGGGCCATACAATGAAGAAGACAATGAGTCGACCAGACGGTTAGCTCACCCGTACTCCAGTCGATTCGGGGGATATGATCCCTTAACCAGGGGTGTCCAAGGATCACAGGATCCTTCGCTTTAGGAAGGACTAGGAAGCCGAGGGTTTCAACATGAAATATCCCCACCTGGAGCTGGACTGGATCAGTATGATAGCTCACCTGTCCACCTTAAAGAGGTTCTCCACTGACACCCAGAACCGTGATGGGGTTGGAGAGTACCTGTAAGGAGATCTGAAGTTTGCGGGCCAACGTGAGGTCCATCAAGTTACCCGCAGCTAATGAATCAACCAATGCTCGCGTATGGTGTCTCTCCCCAGAGCAGGTGACAACTACTGGGATGGTTACTTGTGTCATAGAAACTCCAAAAAGCGTGGATGTGCCTACCTGGGTCTGGGCATCAGGATGGGGTGGTCGGATAGGGCATGAGCGTAAGATGTGTCCAGCCGCTCCACAATACAGGCACTGCCCCATAGTTGCGCATCTGCGTCTTTCGGTGGTGGAGAGTGGAGTACGTCCCAGCTGCATCAGCTCCACATGTTCCTCCAGAGCCGCTGGCAGAATACGGGAGATCGTCTGGCGGGGACGTCGGCAACGGCGCTCCCGGATACTATTGTCAATAGTAACAGAGAACCCGATGTAGTCTTCAAAAGACAAGGTGGCACCGTGGGACGTCAGCTTGTCCTGTATTTCTGTATTGTAATAATCCTCAGAACATCCTCCAGCCAGCGGAGCCCCACTGCAATGGTGCGGAACTCCAACGCGAATTCTGCGATGGTTCAGGCTCCTTGCTTGAGGTCGAATAATCTTTCAACAAGGCTGTGTCCGACGGTGGGATGGTCAAAAATCCCTTTAACCCTCTGGAGTCTAGGGGTAGGGAACACACTTTCACTGACTGGAGCATGGTCACACATTTCGTTCAATATCATAAACTTAATTCATGGCAAATAAATTATTTCTTATATATTTGTTTTGGCATTAAACTCATCTTTATCTTAGTGTACTTTGTAAATATGTCAGATTTATGTTAAGTTTGTACTTTGACATTGCAAAGTGCAGTTTGGAACAATTGCAGACAAATTATAAAAGTACATAGTAAGCGATGCTGGCAGTTTGTTTTGATCCGAGGTATCTGATCACCAAAGTCTTGGCTACATGAAGATGACTAAATGGTGTAGTTGCAACATTCAGTTGGATAAATAAATAAGAAAAACCTAACTAATGTCACTATTTCTGGCTCCTTTCATTGAATATGTAGCAACTTTCATGTGTATGAATGAGCCATTGACACCTGGCCACATCCCCCCCCCCCTTTTATGGCGCTGAAGGGGATGTATCTGGATCGTGTTTCATCGTTGCGCTGTTCATCAAATTACCATGCGAATGCGATTTGAATGCGCGCTAATGCGGCTATTTAGAATGTGAATAGCGATCTTCGGGTGACAGCGGTACTACACGCCCCCGATGCAGGTAAAACAAAGTAAGGTGACATGGTTTACTTTTTTGCCAATTTAACCTAATTTTAAAAACTTTAATACTTCCGACAACGGACGTTTTGAAAAGAAGACAGATTACGGATTTAGTCAGTGTTTTTTTCATGTTTCTATAATAAGATTTCAGCGAGTTATGAACTGAAACACACGAGAAAGATACTCGGCATCGCCGACGATGCTGTCAACTCCAGAGGGTTAAACACCTGCTGAAAGTCGCGCGCTGAATCCGGGAGCGGCCTGTCATCCATCCAAAGAGCAGTAGCCCAATCTCGTGTGCGTCCTGTGAGGAGCGAGATGACGAAACGAACTTGAGTTGTTTCATCAGTAAAGCGCTCTGGGTGTTCCTCAATATACAGCCTGCACTGCATAAGGAAAGCCTGGCAATGATCTGGGTTGCCATCGTATTTCTCAGGCATGGCGACGGGCACTGAAGCAGACGCCCTGGAGGAAGAGGCAGGTAGGTTAACCTGGGCGGCTCGTCCCTCCATGAGCTGAGAGACGAGTGTGGTCAGCTGGTTGACCTGCTGCTGCAGCCTCTGGTTCTCCGTGGGGTCCATGGTAAAGCGGCGAAGGATTCTGTAAGGCTTTGCAACCAGGGAAGAAGCAGACCCCCAAATGCAGGGGAATGCTTTCGAGAACCAGGTACACCGAAATCCAGAGGGCAAATCCAAAAGAGAGGTCGGGTCGGTCGCGGTGGGTCAGTAGCCGGGAGGGTCAATCCTACGTTCAGTGACGGGACGAGGAGACGAAAGGACAGGAGGAGCGACGAGAGCAGACCGGGAAGGCAGGGCAGGGCAGGGAAGGCAGGCAGGGCAGGCAGGGAGGGAGGCAGAGCAGGCGAGGCAGGGCAGGCAGGCAGGGCAGGCGAGGCAGGCAAGACAGCAGGGTAGGACGAGACAAGCAGGACAAGCGGGAGAGACAATGGACAAAGAAACGCTCAGTTTGTGTCAATACCAAGGCAGCAATACTTCGAGAGTTCAGAGAAGTCGCTTCCGCATTAAGTAGAACACTTAATTAGGCGGCGATTGCCTGCTGCTGTGCTGCCCCGCCCCAGTGTGTGTGACAGTTTCCGCACTTTAAATAAATGTTAAACATTCAAAATGAAAAACTATGAGAACTGCACAAAATTTTATTTAAAAAAATTTGTTTTAAAAAGGTCACAAAGGAAAAAATGGTAGATGTGAACAATGCATTGGACAACACCACCTTCCCGTTAGCCCTCAAAAAAGTCTACTGTGTATGGAAATAAGATTAAAATACTTTGTCAATAATATTCTAAACTGTAGAACAACAATAGAAAATCGAATTACATTTCTGAAATAACTGATCAAAACATTTTTTTCTTGTTGCAGAACACTATACCACAAACATAAAATGTATAATAAA